GCTCATGGGGCGGCAGCGGCGTTTCCTTACCGGGAGGCAGCAACGAGCGCGGCGGCATCGCCTCACGAGCACCGCAGCGTCGCATCGCCGTTACCGGCGGGCGGCAGCGTGGAGCACGGGGACGCCTCCGCGTATGCGCTTTTCCCCAGCTGCAGTGGTGGTGCTTTCGGTGGCCGGGCGGCAGCGTCACCTGAACTGCCCTTTTCTGGGCGTTAGCGGGGTGAGGAACGACTGACGCCTCAGCCCCGTTTACACCGTCCCAGTGCCCGCGGCTCGGGCACGTCAGTCCTTTGCGTTTGGCTGCTCTAAGTCTGGCAGTTGTTTCTGTCCATGGCCCCCACCCCATTACCTATGGAGGAGATGCAGTACGGGGAACCTGCCGAACAGGGCTTTTTATCCCCAGGAGTAAGCCCCAGGGATTGCTGTATGGATCCGCATGTGGCATCAGGGTCGTGGGAGTGATGGCTGCGAGTCAACAGGTGCTGGTGAGAGATTTAAAAAAAAAAAGGCAACATAGATGACACCCTGAAGGCAGGAGAGCCGAACAGGGCTTTTTATCCCCAGGAGTAAGCCCCAGGGATTGCTGTATGGATCCGCATGTGGCATCAGGGTCGTGGGAGTGATGGCTGCGAGTCAACAGGTGCTGGTGAGAGATTTAAAAAAAAAAAGGCAACATAGATGACACCCTGAAGGCAGGAGAGCAGAGACTGAAAGCTGCTTTGTGTGAGAGGGGCAGCTCTGTTTAGCAAGAAACAGCGTGTCCGAGCAGACCAGGTGCAAGTGGCTGATCTGCAAATGAGCAATAGGTATGCTGGTGATCCTTGGGCTTTGTTGTGTTGTTTGCACCTTTCCTCACCTCTGTGCTATCAGTGCTCTGCTCTCCTAACCCTGCATACACACGAGGCTTCCTGTGCAGGGCTTGTCGCTCAGATAAGAGATGCTGCACGATGTTACTTACCACCCTGCCCTCCAGCGCGCAAAGTAATTAAACATGAAGCAGGGAAAGCAAAGAAGCATGTTGGTATATTAGATGTCCTCAGCAGATGACCGCAGAGCCCTGGAGGTTCCATCTTTGCTCTGTACAGAAGCATAGCTCTGGATTCCTTGCCGCTCCTGCCAGTGAGCATGGCAGTCGCACTTTGCTGCCTGCAACACACAATACATGGTAGGCTGGATGGGCTGTTCTGCCAATGTGAAGGGTGAGCAGCTCAGTTCCTTTGGCTGCCTAATTCATCTCCTTAAAACAATCACTTCAACACTCAGTTTCTTTATTTCAGACCCCTCTAAATATCTACTGGCCTGGAAGCCATTCTCAGCTAGCAACACAGCTCAAGTACAGTGCTGATGGAAATCTAGCTGTCATTTTGCTTTGATGTCAAAAGGCTTTTGTAACTTGAACCCCTGATTGTTTTGGCATCAAGACTGCAAGGCAAGAAATACCCCTCTACTTGAACAAGCAAGACACCTGCCAAATAGCTGTGCACAGTGATACGTGGCTGCCTGTGACTGACACCTTTTTCCTGCTAAAACCAGAGCACGGTTCCCTTGTGAAGAGCCATTGGTGGTGCAGAATGTTCCTCAGCTTTCCCTGCACTGGGTCCCCAGAGAACAGCGTCTTAGTTTGACTGGAGCGTGCAGCAGCCTGTTGTCCTGGCCCCTTGCCCTTGAGAAAGTGGCCACCTGTAGCAGTGGCAGAACAGCTGCTGCCCAAAGGGGAAAGGAATGACTTGGTGTAAAGCTTGCCAGGCTGCCTGTGTCCAGTGCAGAGTCGATGACCTCGGCAGCCTATACACAGGGTGAAGCTAACAATGTGAGAAGGAGTCACAGGGTGTAGCACTTTCTGCAACAACTGTACTTTCCAGCCTAGCTAGACAGAGTAAGAGGCAAGAGAAAGGGGCATGCTGGGTCCCTCGAGAGGCAGAATGGCTCTAGATTGTGCCGTGGCTGTTTTGCTCTTTTTCTTTGGCAGAGTTACTTCCCAGATATTGGGAGACAGGTACGTTTGCATGGCATGAGTACTGCTGCTTATGGAGCAAAAGGCACTATAAAGCAGCAATGAAGAACAAGGATGGCCGATCAAGATGGTAGGGATAACATGGAGAGCCTAAAGCATTAGCCAAGCAGGGCTTGCAACTAACCTTGTGTTGTGGTTTAACCCCAGCCAGCAACTAACCACCACACAACTGCTCACTCACTCCCCCGCCCCAGTGGGATGGGGGGAGAATCAGAAGGGCAAAAGTGAGGAAACTCATGGGTTGAGATAAAAACAGTTCAACAACCAACAACCACTTGTAAGGAAAAGAAGAAAACAAAAATAACAAAGAGAAAAATAAAACCCAAGACAGACAAGCGATACAAATGAAAACAACTGCTCACCACCAAGCGACCGATGCCCAGCTGGCCCCCGAGCAGCAGCCCTGTGTTTTAGGCATCGGTTAGGGAGGGGGGGCATGAGATAGGAGGGCAGGGGATGTGGGGGGCATGTCACAGGGAAAAAACTCACATGGGGGAAAACCTTGCTTAGGGGGATGTTTCAGTGGAAAGCATTTGGGAGGCCGGAGAGACACACAGAGGGGGACGGGGGGGAGGAGATGGACATGAAGGGGGGGACGGACATGGACGGACAAGGGGTATGTGTGGATAGAAAGGTGCATGGGGGGGCATGCGTGGGGATGACCTACACCAGGGGGTCCATCCAGGATAATCCACAGCAGATAACTCACCTGGGATAACCCGCAAGAGGTAACCACTCCAGAATAACTGACCCACACCAGATAATCCACTCCAGATAACCCCCAGCGATGCCCCTCAAACTCCCAGGGTTTCAGCCCAAATTTTCCCCAAATTGGTTTGGGGTTTGGTTGTGGGGGTTTTTTTTTTGCTTTTCCATAATATAAAAATTGGGGTTTTTTTGCTTTTCCGAAATACTCAATTCCGGGTTTTTTTGGTGCTTTTCCACAACATAAAAATTGGTGATTTTTGCTTTTGTGCATGAAAAGGGGAGGGGGTTTTTGTTTTGTTTTTTACTTTCTGGCTGCACAAATCCAGGCAGATTTGGCTTTCCCGAGAGCCCCAAATTGAGGTTTTTCCCCCAAAATTGGGGGTTTTTTTCCCCCTTGCTTTTGCAGTATTTTTGTGCTGTGGTGGCGGCTCCTGCTTTGTGTGTGCAGCCCCACAGGGGAAAGTCCCTGTTTGGGGGAATCGGCCCCAAATCAAGATGGGAAAAGAGGGAAAAGGAGAAGGGGGAAGGGGGAGCTTTTGAAAGTGTTTTTGTATCGTCAATATAGATTGGGGGGGGCAAGTTTTTAAATCCTTTCTATAAATAGGTTTTCTTTGCATTTTGAAAACCTTATATAGCATAGACATTTACACTTACACATCTGTTTACATACATATGTTTAAGGAATATGTTTTATATAATCTATTTATACTTACATAATTATCTGTTTAGACTTATATATTTACACTTTTATATATTTGCACTTACATATTATATCTATTTAGACTATTTACACTTATATAGAATATCTATTTACACTTACAAATCTATTCACACTTATATAGAACATCTATTTAGACTAGCTGTTTAGACTTATATTTTGACATTTTAATATCTTTTTGGACTTAGATATCTACTTACAGTTATATCTATTTAGACTATATATACGTGTAAATAGATACCTAATCTCCATTTAGATTACATATATCTACTTAAGACTTACTATGTAACACACAGTAAGTGTAGCTAGCTCTATCTATTCAGATTTTTTCTATTTTAAATTCCTTCATATACCATCTTTTTTTACATTTTAAAGTCCTTTATTTTTTAATTTATAGATACATGAGTTCTTTTTTAATTTTAAAACCCTATATATCTCTATTTAGAATTTTTTATATTCTAAAATCCTTTATATAACATAGTAGATAGAGGGTTGTATTTTAAAATCCTTTTATATATATAAATGAATATTCTTTTTCAATATATATAAAAATGAGAGATTTTTCTCTATTTCAATGCCTCACACCCATATTTACAGTTTTTAATATTTTTTAAAACCTCCCATGAATTTTCACGCATTTTGGGGCTGTGGCCCCCCTTTTTGGGGAGGACTCCCCATCCTCCACTCACCTG